AATTGCTGTGAAGCAATTATGGTCCGCGAAAAAATCTGACAATATAAAAAAAATATTAAATTCTTTTTTCCGAGGAACATCTTACCTATTCTAGAATAAAACTTTACTACTTTATCTGTGATAAAGAAATAGGCTAGGTTATATTATATATAGAAAAAAAATAATGGAAACGGATGGATAATGTTTTCAAAAGCAAATAATTAATGAGCATAAACAATTTCTTTTCAAATTTTTATAAATACAAATTCAAAAAATATGATAAAATGAAATATAATAGTCTATTTTTAGTATAAAATTTATTCATTTAAGAAAATTTAAACAAGATTATAATTATTTAAACTCTCCACTACGGTTAATCAAATTAAGCTCCCGAATGAAATGAATTTCATTTCAAACGTAACAAATTCCTCTTCGCTGCTATTTCATTTCGTTTTTAAAATTGACAAACGACTTAAGGCGTAGGCGAATTTACTGAATATATTGCTCTAAAAGTTATGTCACTCCACGATTGCATCGACAATACATACTATAAAGTATTCATATTTAAAAAAAAACGTAAAATATTTTTTAATATATTACAAACTTGTCAATATATAATAACTTGATAATATTCCCTAACTAATAATAACTACATAAAGTCACTCTCATGAAATTCTTCTACAAATTCAACAATAATTTTCAAAATGCATTATTTCTACGTTTACAGACGTATATGTATATATATAGGATTCCGTAAGCAAAAGGTACTGTCAGAAGCTCACCCTACATTGCCTGTCAATCCATCCGTTTGCCTTTATCTTAAAAGTACTACATCTTATGAAATATATTTTTAACGGTTTTTTTTAACGTTGGGAAATGCATTTACGCACGAGGTGGGAAACTCACCGGCAAAGCCAGTACTACCAACTAAAACCCAACAAATCCTTCCCCCGTCTTAATGGGGCGTCGCAGGATCGCTTACGCATTAAACTACGACGCCCCGACGGCAGGTCTGCCGAAGCGGACCACAACAACCATGGGGTTGCTCCAAGGTCCACTCTGCTATCAGAGAAGTACCAGGAGTAACCCGCATGGTACACCGCCCCCCGAAGAGGGCCACCTCCCACCGCCCACCGAAGTGGGCCACCTCCCTGTGCGTTTCTTGGCTTCGCGCCCGGCTGAATTGCCGGGCACTACTGAGCCCCCCCACCACGACAAGGTGAACGCACGTTGGGGGGTATATTTTTAACCCTTTCTTAATACGCTTAAAGCTTATAACTCAAAACTAAATTGTATAAGTTCACAGACAGCATTAGTGACATATGAGTGAGGATGGAATTGAACCTCTACAGAGTCTGCTGATTCTATTTACCAATCGAAATTATGTTTTCTGCTTTCACATTTATATCATCATCATTATCGATTTTGTTAATATTAAAATGTCATTACATATAGGGGGACATGAAAGATATAATGGCATGGTACTGGCTGGCTGGCGTGGTTTTCTATTATTTTCTATTTACATTTTCTAAGAAGGAAGTGGGTTCGATTTCCATAAATAATTATAAGAATCTTTTATTGTAACATGGTAAAAGTATATAAAAAAATATACGATATACTATGCAGAGATCAGACATTAGCTAATTATTATTATAACTTATAGTTAAAATTTATAATGATTTTTTTTATATTAACACAAATGACTTACAAAATGTACACCGACTGTAAAATATTTTTTATTGTATTTATTCTATCTATACTTGAGCAAAAAAACTTGTTTATATGAGATCTTATTTTTAGGCGAATTAAGTACCTCCTCCATTTTAAAATGGTTAAAAGCACGAGTAGTTACAAAAAACAAATAATCTTTAAAAAATTTTGTATAATGCCAAAACATGTAAAGGTCTCGGGGTTAGAGGATTGATAACCGTCGTCCGCTTTGAAGTGTACATCAAAGCTGTCTCAAACATTTGAGAAAAATTATCGGAAGAATTCTAATATTCCATGTAATAAAAGTTTAATTTGTCATTGTGCCGATTTGATTTTTTTAAACTATTTTTATTAATATTTATGAGGGATTTTTCTTAATATTTAAATTGCTAAAGTGTATTTGTTTTATGCAGCAATTACGCAATGGTTTTATGGGGGTGAGATAGGGTATTTTTTATCCCAGTAGATTAAGAGATTCCCATTGGGCATTATACTGGTACCAAAGTTGATGACAGACACTACTTAATTAATATATGTACGATTATATGACATTCCGTTACCCCATCTTCAAGACTAAGTTCAAAAACCCGAAGTTACTTAAATTAATATGAATTTTAAGTCGATGAACCTTGTTAAAAAATAATTTGCTTTCCGATTACTAACATAAAATGAACCTATTCAAGTATGAAGCGGGTTCAAATCATTTTCAACATGATTTCCACTTGTCTTACGTTGAAGGAAAGCGTGAAGAAAAATCGTGGAGAAACCTGCATGTCTAAGAGAATCTAGCAAGTTCTCGAAAGCCATGTGACAAATCCGCCAACCTGCAATTTGCCAGCGTGCTAGAATATGTTTGCCCTCATATTGAAGGGTGGCCCGTGCCCAGCAGTGGGAGGTAAAAAGGGCTGAAACCTGTAAATAAATTCAGCAAATACCGAAGGCATCGAATGAAGCAGAGCGAATCTAAAGTAAGCCGCTAGTTTAATTCATAAAATGTAAAGAAATCGTGCAGATATATTATTTCATTAACTTCAGGGTACTAATGCGTACGTAAAAAGCTGCCTTTACAAGAATTACCGAACCTATTGAGCGTAAAAGGCATACGATTCCTTTTATATGATTTATAAAGCCTTTAGGAACGTGTTTATAAAAAGAATATTTTAAGTTGGGAGGGAAAATAAAATATTGTTGAACATTATTTTACCTTTTCAGATTTTTTAGACATATTGAAATGAAAAGTTACATATATGAATACGTTTTTCTTCACTATATAATAACACTGTCATTGTAGATCATCATATTGGCCATTTTTTATAATGTATATAATGTAGATACATATGAAGTCTGTTTTTACAAGTTGTCGCCAAATACCCTGTTCATTGGTATTAGACGAATATAACATGATACGTAGATACAACACATATCATAATAATTATATGTATGTAACTGTTAAACATATGATTTACTGATTGCTGGTAATGAACATATACTGATTTAATGTACGAGGGTCTGGTCCCTCGCTAGTGGCCTCCAACCTCCCCTATAGCCACCCCGAGCCTCGCTAAACTGATAACTGTTCTGATTTAATAAACTGATTTAACTGATCTCACATCACTGGTCTGATTTATCTGATAACATGTTAACACATGTCTATGCTGAATCGAATACTCTGAATCTGATTTCTGATCAAGCAATCTGCTCACACGCAATAACATTGAATATTCACAAACTGGTAAAATAAATCCACTTACTTGAGAACACACGGTGCTACGCCTGATCTGCCTCGCTCGCGTCTCGACCGCGTCTGTGTCAAATCTCAATCTATCCTATCGAACTCTTTTCGTACTACCGTCACGTTAATGACAAATAATAATTTGAATGATTAAACATTTATTTCGCGATTACCCTACGGTATTCGCGACACTCCCCGCCAAAAGGAAAATAAAATTGCTCTGATTTAACTGATTACAACTAGTCTTTAATTTTCATAAACTGATTACAAATTTTAACAGAAACAACAATCATCTGATTTAAAATATCTGAATAAATTATAATTCATCAAATAAAATTAACATAAGTTGAGAAGTCCATTTTTTAACTCTATCCCTGGCTTTCGTAGCTGACACTCTGCTTGGTCGTTTGGAATTACTGGGCGCTGAATTTTTAATTTCACTGTTTGCTATTTTACTTATTCCAGGTTGTTCTAACTGATTTGCCTGTATTGATTCCCTTTCAGGAACTGATACTGTATTCATGTTATCTTCAACTTCAAGAGGATATAGATGACTTATTGATCGAGTCAACGTTTCTCCTGTCGTTGTATTAATTTTTGCAACTCTGATATGTCCATCCGAACCCTTAATAAGCTCTTTTATCTTGCCAACTTTCCAGTTCACCGACCCTCGGTACCCTGTCAACTACAACTCTTGCTTGTCTATGTCTGTTTCTTCGTTCACGAAGACTACATAAATATTGATTACTAAACATTTTCACAAACTCCTGAATAATAATCTGACCACGTTTCCAACTATCAATTAGGTTATATTTAGTAACTGAAGATGGCTCTAGAAGGTCACGATCCGATATCTCGGTCGTAGTTGTTCCTCCGATTCGTAAAAAATCTGATGGCGTTAAGACATGCTCTAGTTCAGCTCCTACTGGTGTCAAGGGCCTAGTATTAATGATCGCTTCAATTTCTTTTATAACTGTACACAACTGATTAAAGTTAAGCGAATGTTTGTCCACCGTTCTTTTAAGACAATGCTTTACTAAGCCTATTAAACGTTCATAAAAGCCCCCAAACCAAGGAGCTAATTCAGGTATAAATTTCCAACGTATCTTATTCAAGATACAATAATCAGACGACAATACCTCTGCCGTAAGTTTGAACTGTGTGGCGTTATCGGAAATGATAAGTTTGGGTAAACCTCGTACTGCAACAAATCTTCTGATTGCTAATAGACATTCTTCTGCTGATAAATCTCTAACAATTTCCATATGTATTGCTCTGATCGTCAAACATGTAAATAAACACACCCAACATTTCTCCTTACTGTCATTTATTACATAAAGCGGCCCAAAATAATCCATTCCCGTAAATGTAAAAGGTAAATTAAACTTAACTCTGTCTGATGGCAAATCGGGCATCGCTGGTAATTTAAATGGACCACCTCCGTATTTTAAGCAATTTCGGCATTTTCTAAGAATCTTTTGTACGGTTGATCTACCATGAGGAACCCAGAATGTTTTTCTAAGTAAAGCCAATGTATGAGATACTCCAACATGATAGTTTTTCTCGTGTAAATCAGCTATTTATGTGTAAATTCTGAATTTTTTGGAAGTAATATAGGTTCTTTATGACAATGAGTCCAATCAGTATGTTTAAATCTACCTTTACATCTCAATATCCCATTGACATCTTTATATAGGCCAAGTGATCTTGCAAAATTAGATACAATACCTTTCGTTTCTTCTGGAAAATATTGAGCTTGTACTTTCAAAATAATTTCTAAATCACTGTCACTATCGCTAATTGGTTCTTTATCTAATTCGGTTGTACTTGTCATATCTAAATTATTTATATTACTTTCATTCTCAACTAAAGTGCTTTTATTATTTGTATTCTCATTCGAGAGACCCTCCCCGACAGAAGAGATTTGCATTTCCACTTGATATACACAATTATTAAACATAGAAAACCAATTTTCAGAGTTATCTAGTAAAAAGTCTGGACCTTTGAGCCACCTATCATAATGATCTATCCGGTCAGATCTCGTACCTATGTCTGCTGGATTGTATTGACCAGGTATATACCTAAGAATTAAAGTTTTATTTTGCTTGATTTCATTAATCCTCCGCGACACAAAAGGCAAAAGAAGCTTACTAGAATGGTACCAACCTAAAACTATTTGACTATCGGTCCACAAAACCTGCGCCTTTATACTTAACCTTAAATTTTTATTTACGTACTGTAATAGTCTATTTCCAATAAGTACTCCAAGCAATTCTAGTTTTGGAATCTGTAAATTAACTTGCTCCTTAATAGGTACTAATCTACACTTGCCAATAATAAAAGTGACAATATTACTAGTACCCCAAGAACTACGTAAATATATACATGCAGCGTATGCTTCCGTAGAAGCATCAGTAAAGCAATGTAATTCATGTCTCATTTTTTCACTAGCCCTGGTGTTACCTATACTTTTTAAGAAATATCTGTCAATGCTGATATTTTTAAGATAACTAAACTTCGATATTATTTGCTTCCACTCATTAAGTAAATTACTATTAATCTTAGTATCCCATAAAATCTTTTGTTTCCATAACTTCTGGAAAAATAATTTAGCTGGAAGCACTATTGGAACAGCATAACCACAAGGATCATAAACCGAAGCAATTACTTTTAAAATACTTCGTTTTGTGTAAACTGAATCTAAATCTGTTTGACTAATATCATATTTCAATAATAATTTATCATCCCTCGTATTCCATATTAAACCTAAAACTTTAACTGCCTCAATATCTCTACAAAATTTATCAGGTATACGTGAAAGAAAATCTTTTGAATTTGAATTCCACTCCCTTAAGTTCATAGACAAATCGTTAAAGGCTAATTTAGACGTGTTGTATATGTTTTGTGCCTCTAAAACCGATTTAGCACCAGTTATAATATTATCTACATAAATATCGGCGGCTATCTGGTTTAAAATTGAGTTATTAGATTTCATTAAATGGTATTTTATTGTAGCATTAAGGAGAAATGGACTAGATATAACTCCAAAAGGTACTCGACAGAATCTTAAAGTTAATATATTTTCTTTGTTAACTGAATCATTGATATTTTTCAGCCAAAGAAAGCGCGTCACGTCTTTGTCTGGTTCTTGAAGGCCTAGTTGTAAAAATGCTTTTTCAACGTCTGCTATAATGCCAATCGCATGTTCTCTAAATTTAATCAATAACGCAGTAAGATCTTCTAGCATTAAGGGACCTTTATATAAGCATTCGTTCAAACTTTTATTTCCTATTGTTTTGGCTGACGCATCATATACAATACGAAGCTTATTGGGTTTATCTCGATTAAAAACACAATGATGTGGTAGATAGTGCACAGGATGACTCAGTGAAAAGGAAGCGTTTTTGACTATCTCTATTACACCATTCTGTAATTGTTCTTGAATGACTTTATCATATGACTTTATAGTTAAATTATCTAAACGTTTCAATAAATTACTTAGACGACCATAAGCTAAGCCTAGATTATTAGGTAAATTAGGAGGATATTCGGCCCAAGGCCATTTAACGTAATATCTATTGCCTTTGTACTGAATAGTTTTATTAAATTGTTTAATCGCTTCCTCATCACGAGAACATTTTGAAGAATCTACTATTCCTATCGATTCTAGATCCCATAACCTTTTAACATCGTCTGTCTTTAATGGAAGATCCGGTTTATGTAATTTACTATCATAAATTCCTGCTGATTGAAAATAAGTTAAAACTGATAATTGATCTACCGTATTTGTTTCGTTTACTCTACCTGACCATACCCACCCAAAATCTGAACTTACTAAGAAAAGATTATCAGAAATACATAACTTTTCATTCGATATAAATGTATGATAATAATCATTACCTATTAAAATGTCTATTTTATCTCCATAAGAACCATCATCTGCTAAATGAGTTTGTTTAATCTACTGTCTTGTAATAATTTCACTGAATTATTAAATACTGGCGCTTGTACGGAATTAGTAATATGAGGTACTACATTCGCGTATATAGATCGCTTTACACCGATTCGCGTCTTAATTATAAAATTAAATACACGACTTGTTATATATTGTGGAGATTTCGTACCAAATGTAAAAATAGACAAATCTACATTTTCTATAGTGGGCAGGTTTAAATGATTTGCAATTGATGATGTTATATATGAACGTTGGCTACCAGAATCAAGTAATAATCTACAAGTTTTCTCTTTAGGCTTGTCACTCAAATCACTAACATTAACAAGGCAAGTCTGAAGTAAAGTGGTTGTTACTGCAGAACTAATATGCAGACTATCAGTTTGCGATGATTTCATTAGCGGGGCTGATCTATTGGGACATAAAGCACGATTATGGAGCCCAAATTTATTACAATGCCTACACTTTCGTTTAGAAAAGCAATTCTTAGATTTATGTCCTTCACCAAAGCAATTATAACAACGATTGCCTAAATATGATTTTCTATCTTGTACAGTTTTAAAATTAGTACACTCGTCATTAAAATGATCTTGTTTACAGAATACACATCTTTTTATGAACTTCTTTTTAGGTGGCTCATCGGTTTGATTAACTAGATCACGGGTTCGTTTTCGTGAGAATAATTTAAATTTATCATTAAATTTATGTCCTACCCTAGGTCTTTCCCTATTTGTAGTCATAAAACGATTTTTATTACTTCTATTGTCCTTACATGTAATGAACCTAATGTAAATTGCTCTGCGTTTAGCCTGTTTTCACTGTTACTACCTTCTATGCATGAACTTTCTATTTCTCTTTTTAATCTGTTGGACGTTTCTCTTGCAGATATTATATACTCTAAATACTTTCTTATAACATCAATAGATTCATTTTCGTCAGTCATTTTTAACCGTCATAAATAAGATCTTCTGGAAATTTCTCTATAATCATTACTCGAAGATGGTTATGATTAACATCTTCGCCCAAAGAGCTAAGAACCCTTAGATGCCTTTCAATCTCATTTAATACCTGTCTACACTCTTTTACTGCTTTACTTGCTGATTTAATTCTATATAATGCAACATAATGAGCATCAATAATAACGCTTGGTTTTCCATATCGTTCTTTTAATGTTTTAACCGCTATTTGATAATTTTTATTAGTTGTATCTAATCCTTCAATTGCCTGTTTAGCGTCACCTTCTAGAGCCGATTGTAAATATAATAACTTATCAACATCACTTATATTCCTATTATCAACGTTTGATGAAAATTGATCCCAAATTTGATACCACTTAAGTACATTACCATCGAATTTTGCTAGTTCCATCCGCGGTAACTTACTGACTATATTTTGATTATCATCGGACTGTGGTACTTTTGTTCTATACCTATTGTTTAGACAAACATTTATTTCTGCTATCAAATCTTGAGCCTTAATTTGTGTCGCTGTGTATTGACTAATTTCTTCTAAGTTGGATTCATTAACTGATTTACAATAATTATGAATTTCTATAACAAATCTATCAACTGCTCCCTTTAATTTAGATTCAATTAACTGTAATTCATTTAAATTAAAATCACTGTCCATTACTCGTGTATACGCACATTGAGCTGAATCTATATACGTAAGAAGAGATTCATGAATAATTCTAAGTCGGGTTCGGATGACTTCTTCCATTATGAATACAGTATTTAAAATTCAGTATCAATAATCATATTATATTGGAAACTGTAACAAGACACAAAATAATACTAAATAAGTAGCTCACAAAATCCTAGCGTAGTTAAATATTAGCCAGTTTTCATATTTATTATAAATTAAATTATATGAATAATTTTATATTTCATTTATCATGTTTTATTTTATTTACAGTTTTATTCGTCTTTTTTTTGCTCAATAGTGTAAACTTTGAGAAACACTAACTTTTTTACTACGAGTACTGTTTAATTTATGTAATCAAAAAAAAATCACGAATATTACAATATAAAATAAAATCGTTAATAAAAATAGGTACTGTTAAATAACAGTATAATACATATTTACTAAATATTTCATATACTAATTACTTTTTTAATATCGACATTATATAATTTTAAAATATTTAATCTCTGTAGAATCATAACTGCTTTTAAAATTAACTATTTATCATTTCAAATTCTTTAGAATTAAAACTTTCAACGTTCAACTAACAATTATTGATTATGCTTTATATATAGGTACATAATATATATACCTCATTTTAATTTCTTCTTTCATTTTAAATTAAATGTTATTTATAAAAAAAATTATGAACATGTAGGTACTCGTAACAGAAAACGATATTCATTCGATATTATGCGGGTAAACTGCTTTACTTATAACCATCACGCGATACTATTTATAATTATCAACCGACGTTTGAATTTTTGAGAATAAAAGTTAAAATATAATATTCTATTGATTTACTATTATCACTTTAGAATATATTTTTTAAATAATAATAAATGTCAGATCCCAGCACCTCCACCATGTCGCCAAATACCCTGTTCATTGGTATTAGACGAATATAACATGATACGTAGATACAACACATATCATAATAATTATATGTATGTAACTGTTAAACATATGATTTACTGATTGCTGGTAATGAACATATACTGATTTAATGTACGAGGGTCTGGTCCCTCGCTAGTGGCCTCCAACCTCCCCTATAGCCACCCCGAGCCTCGCTAAACTGATAACTGTTCTGATTTAATAAACTGATTTAACTGATCTCACATCACTGGTCTGATTTATCTGATAACATGTTAACACATGTCTATACTGATTCGAATACTCTGAATCTGATTTCTGATCAAGCAATCTGCTCACACGCAATAACATTGAATATTCACAAACTGGTAAAATAAATCCACTTACTTGAGAACACACGGTGCTACGCCTGATCTGCCTCGCTCGCGTCTCGACCGCGTCTGTGTCAAATCTCAATCTATCCTATCGAACTCTTTTCGTACTACCGTCACGTTAATGACAAATAATAATTTGAATGATTAAACATTTATTTCGCGATTACCCTACGGTATTCGCGACACAAGTACGAGTTTATATACACTTCCTTGTAGAAACAGACCGACTTTAATACTCGGACCACAACGACTCGAAGAAGACAGAGACGATACTGGATATACCAAAATAACTGCACTAAGCGGCTATTAGTTATATTTTATCAAACGACACTAAACAAGAAATATCTACAAAATTTAATACAAAACTCAAAGCGGTAATAAGACTCATTTTCTCTATCTAAAGATTATAATGGTTCATTCCCTATAGATACGTCTTTTACTCGAGCGTTAATTTTGATGTCTTTAATTATTTGACATACCTACTTGCCAAAGAATATTTTGAGGTGAAACTTCTTTAGATTCGTTGTGATTTGAAACTCGATGAAACGCATATGCGATACTAAAAAGAGACAAACACATAAATATGTAGCAAAGCCGGCGAGAGAATGAGATAGAAAAAAATGCCATGTTACAATGTTAACCCTTGTTGTATTCAGCCCTTTTTATCGTCCCACTGCTGGGCACGGGCCTCCCTTCAGTACGAGGGGAATCAGGCCATAGTCCACCACGCTGGCCAAGTGCGGGTTGGCGGACTTCACATGTCTTTCGAAAACTTGCTAAGTTCTCTCAGACATGCAGGTTTCCTCACGATGTTTTCCTTCACCGTAAGGCAAGTGGTAATCATGTTAGAAATGATTCGCACATGAAAATATCAGAGGTGCGAGACCCGGGATTTGAACCCGCTTCACTCGGTTTCTCAAGCGAGCGCGTTACCACTGGGCTACCACTGCCTTAACCCTTGTTGTTGTCTGATAAATATATAATATTATATTCTTTCCGTATATGTATTCTATAAATATATGATTGTAATATGCCTAACATGCCTTATTTCATTATTTGAGATAGAATACATTACACAGGAAGTGAAAAATAATAAAATTAATTAGTGAATATAAGTAAGGGATGATAAGTGGTCGACAATAACGAGTTATGTTTTTATGGGCCATACACGCTTGCATTATTATTTTGCCTATATATGTATATAACGACGATGAAATAACAAAGAAGATTAAAAATTGGCATAATCTTATCAATTATTGACAGATGCTTTTCTTGGTCATGATCATGTTACCAATATTTAATTTATTCTATTCGTAAAGGTTCGTCCCTAGTGAAAAACAGAAACAAGTCTATCCTAGCAGAACCGTATATTTTTCCGGGATAAGAAGCTACAACTAAAACTTATGTGCTTTTCCAGACTATAATTTATTTCTGTGCCTTTTATCCAGATCTGCTCAGCCGTTCTGGGCATTAATTTGAGTAACAAACATCCATCCAAACTTTCATATTTATAATATTAATGGTAATTAAAATTAATAGGCTTCAAATTCACTTAAAAATTAATTATTATCACTTTATAGGTAGCTATATTCTTGAAGAATGGGACCTCATTTAATAAAACTATTCATTAACAAATAATACTTAATATGCTTTGATGCGTACTATTCATCAACACTGCGATAGCTTATATACGTACAATTAGATTTTAAAAATGTTGGTTTTGGTATTACTACGTCCAGGATGGTGTTGGATTCTTCACCATTGGTAAGTTCTTACAAACGCTATCCTATCTGTATTTGAAAACCAATTTTTGCCATCTACACTGTTCACTTGATAGATACGTAAAAAAATATGTATCTCACAATTTACTTAAATCCGTTAAACTGTTCCAGTATTAAGGAGTAGCAAAATTTTATTCATACATTCAGTTACATACTTTAGTTTGTATTAGGTATATAAGTTATAAAAAGAACTCCGGATAAGTGCGAGTCCGACTCGCCCACCGAGAGTTCCGTACAAATTTGAAAGAAATCTTTTACCATATAGGTTTTTGACCCAAAACCTATAGATTACTTCCGGTTAACCTAGAATTGTCAATTTTAGTTAAAAGCAAGGTCTTACAGCACAAATGAAGGGAAAATTCCGAAAAATAAAAGATGTTGAAAATAAAGGTAAATTTTGATACTAACAAGTTTTCGCGAAAATCTAAATTTGCCCATATCTTTTTATCGTGTTGACTCTGGACTTTGATTTTTGTACACGTAATAGGGACTATAGACCTCAGTATCTGGAATAAATTTCAATTCTCATTGAGAAAATCGGTGGTGACACACGGACAAACAGACGGACAGACGGACAAACAGACGGACAGACGGACAAACAGACGGACAGACGGACAAGAAAGTAATCTTATAAGGCTTCCTTTTTTACTTTTTGAGGTACGGAACCCTAAAACACTGTAAACTATT